AGGTGGTTACTAGAACTGAATCTATTCAGCTTTATTATCATTAATATGAATTTATTCTCTTTTACAATTTCCACTGACTGTATACTTAATGCTACAATATTTTTGATCACCAATAGTGGAGATGAATTTCTCCTGAGATTTCCATTTAGACAAAGCAGTACAGATGCTCTATGACGATTGAATTTTCTAGTTTGCATTATATGACATTATTATCCTCATCAACACAACAGGTCTGTGTACTTTACAATAGTTGAAGTGTTTCACTATGTTGTTAGCACTGTGCATAGCTGTCTAGAGTTGAGGCATGTTCAGCTTATATTTGATGCCTATAGTCTCCTAAATGTGAAAATGTGATTTCTGTAGGATTCACAAAACCTTGTGGACTAGACATTACTGAGATTGTGGATTAACTTCTAAGTTATACACTTGCAATACTTCATTTCATGTAAAAGTGTTTAGTGTGAAGTTGATCTGCAAGTAAGCTTGATGAGAGAATGACGCCTCAATAGTATGAATGTTTCGGAGATTGCCTTGAAATTTGCATATAGTCCTCAAATTTTTTTTGATTTACAGCTTGATTCCACACTGTATTTTTGGTACAAGCACGGAATTTTCAGCATGGATATCGGTAGCCCAAATTTTGCAGGCCGACCATAGATATCAGGTGTGCGTCGGTGGGGGTTCGAACCTCGGACCATGTGCATGGTCGGCGAGAGTCCTAACCACTGTGCCACCGACGCAGTATATTTATGTATACAGCGTCAACATAAAAATCAGCTGTAGATTACAAATACATTTATCTGCATGAGATATTACTTAGTTTTAACAGAATCAGTGTATTCATAGTATATGCTAATATGCAGAATTATCTCTTGTAACTTCATGTTATGCTAGTTCTTACATGTACTTTATTTTTTCCACGTATACGGAGGTTGTCGAATATGAAATCAGCGGAAACATCATTCGGTCAAACTAACTTTATTACCCTTCATCAGAATTTTCTTTTGTAAATTAATCAAATGTTTAATATACTCTTGATTACTTCTTCCTGTAGACTTCTTCAATTCCTCGCTATACAATGTGCTTTTGTAATAAGTGAATTAGGAATAATAAACGCTAAGCTTAGTTAGTGGGATGGAGATTTACTGTAGTATTATGAGAATGTTACTTTAGTCATTAGTAGGATTTCGTGTCTGTTTCTACACAATAGCACATTGTAAAAGCTAAGTGGGATTTATCAAGTTGAATAATAATTCTGTACTGTTGGATACTCTAAAGTCGCCTTATCTAACCAGTTGAAAGTCTGTTTACTGTTAAACGCCAAGTATGTAGTACAAGTAAATGTAGTAACTTAGGCTTGATATCTACTTCACTAATCCGTTAATATGCAGTGACATCATCAAATAGACTGTTCACTTGACGATCAGCTAAGAAACATTTTTTATTTATTTTAATATGCCGTTGAATCATAGGATGTTATCTAGTATTCATCATTTCTGTGATCAAAAACTGCGGTATTTGCATGTCTACTTTATAGATGTTAAATAACCTACGCCTGTATGCATGTAATTACCTCCAGTATTTCCTATTCATTTGGTGTGTGTAAACTAAACAAGTCTTTCATAAATTCTCCCATAAATGCCAAACTTTCTAGTGTTACAAGCGTTCATAAAACCTGCTTCCTTTGTTTCAAATCAAATGAGGTATATACGAACTAAGGGAAAGTTACTCTTACTTAATCTTTAACCCTCACTCAGAGCCTTTAACGATCCCAAACAGTTCTCCTATAAACACAGTAGACGTACTTTAGATGCAGCTGCAGTCTTGCTTCACAACATTTTCTCCAGTATAGACAATGGGGCTAAATTCGCTGCACCTTCCTAGAATACACATCTGCTTTCGACTCAGTACCCAGAGATATTCTGTTAGATAAGCTTGCTGAAACTCAAACTGAGTATTGGATTGTTGGATGGCTTCATTTTTATTTATCAGGGAGAAAGCAGTACACTGTAGGTCAGGGGGAAGTCGTCCATTACCAATTGTATTTTTGTTTGATGAACTTATTGTACGAATGCATACGAAAAGAACTTTTTCGAACACGCGGACGATCTAACTACTTCAATGTCTGTTAACTGCCAGCTACACTGTACTAAGATGAACAGCTCTCTATTAGGAGTGGGAAAATGCTCTTAAACTAAATCCTTCGAAATGTCAGACTGTTATTTTCAGTTTCCGATGTAAACGAAAGTTAGTTGAAGGTGTTAATTCCTATGACCGTTGCAAAATTGATAATAGTGATACGGAAATGAAGTCTAACTTGAAGCATCTCCGACTAATTCATCACAGCGTATTGGCCCTAAATGTATGCCACATGCAGGCATAATGTTTATGAGCTAGGTATGCAAATCAAGGTAAACGCTTGTACGGTACATTCATTATTTATAAAACTAACTCGTACGTAAGAACTGTGGTTTGATCAGTTATACAACGTTTAATACATTTAGACACAATTAACCTAAATTCTTACTTCTATGACGCGTTACCTAAAACTACATTAATATAGTTTCCGCTGAAGGTAATCTCCTATAGCTACCACCCTAGTGGGCAACTTAGCGTTATCTTTGAATAACGAAAATTCTGGGGACTTTCTTGGTAAAAAGATCGTCTCTTACTCGAAAAAATTAAATATACCCTAGTCTCCCCAAGAACGTTCATAGGTATTCATCCTATCACCTCAAACGACTCACTATTTGCAGTCATTTAAAAAGTAAAAATAAATTTACCGATGGCAACGTGCTTATGATTTCTAGATATCATAATGTACTATGAGGAAAACGCTATATCCATGCGGTTATAACAGTCAGATGCGCGAAATTAGTCCAAAACACAACAACCACGATTCTCAGTCACATAACATCTTACTTCGCTACCTAATCGTATAATCGTATCAACGGATGTTTCGCCAAAGAAAAGAAGACTACTGGTTCAAAGTAAATTTATTTAGTTTTTTTTAAAGATCGTGAACATCTGTGTTTATAGTCACGGAAAAATCACAACTTCGAGGAAACCACCGATCGTAGACTACCACCCGGAACGTTATTCTTCCTAATTAATGTCTTACCTTTAACTGGGATTGTTCGTACACTCACCAGATAATCGTATTTTATCCGCTTTGAAAACCGTTTTGCAACCCATCGAATGGATGTTAACACTGGCTCTATTACGGGTAGTCCTAGTTCATGTATTTGGATCTAGTACATCAAGCAATAATAAGCATAAGTAACACTTACCCTTAAGGATTCCAGTTTCTTTTAGTTCCCCAAAATACACACAAGCACAACAGATTCATACTTTTCATGCGGCTCAACCTTATTTGACTTAGATTCTCTCACGATATATTTTTTTTAAAATGATAGCAGACACACGGATGGTATCTTCACATTCTCAAAAAGCTTCAAAGCTTTTTCAACTTCAACCCAGGTTCTAAATTTTCCACGTTTAATTTGTTCTTCGAAAACTTTGCTAACATCAACTCTGGTGTTCCCTTTAACAGATTCACTCGCAGATTGTTGCATGCTGTAAACATGAACGAGAAAGACACTTTTTTCACGATTTCTACATCTTAGGTAATTAAATGAGCCAACAAGAATAACAGCAACCAATAAATGGACTGAAAACAACTGCTTCTGCCAGCCAAACATCTTCACGTGCATGATTTCCAAGACTTCCACACATTGCCGATTCATTAACAGCTGAAAACCAAATAAAACACTAAAAGCTGCATAAATACAAGGTATGAAACAATTACACCGAAATGAATGCACTGACCTGGTAGTGAAAAGTTTCAAAACCAAAAAAATAATTCATTTTAACGGCAACGGAAACAAAAAATGAGGTGAGACGCAACATTTGTGAACAATACGCATCAAGATTAGTCGTGTATAACGGCAGGATAAACGGAACAACAAACGCGTCAACGAACAGCTACGGAACCGCGATCCAACATGGCCGACTAAAATGGACGAAAATGACCTTCGAGCGTCTCACTCCACCAATGACCTTGATAAGTGACGGATAATTTCAGCCGCTGCTGGTCCTCTGTAACGAGAGATAAAGATTAAAAGGATTAGTGAGGGTTAAAACGACTACTCCCAGAAGCGGGACCAAATAGATTAAATATAGCAGAATTGAATAAGAAATTGTGACAAGGAATAAAAAATCACTAGTAGCATTACCTATGGATTAGTTCAGTGAAAGAATTCTACGAACCTCTTGGGCCAGTGAACACGTCGACCAGCACGTGTGACAGGGGTCTTACTGGTGACGGTAGGAGAATCATCATTCACCACTGGAGGTGAGGTAGTTGAGTCTGGACAAGGACTAGGTTCAGTGGGGCTATTTGATTGAGCCGATGGGGAGGGTGAAGGTTCTTCAGTGTATGCCGCTTTAAGTCTGTCTATGCTGACAGTGTCTGGGCGGCCGCATCGGTCAATAACGAAAAATTTATCTTTACGACTAAGGACCTTAAAAGGCCCGTCATACGGTGGTTGTAATGGCTTTCGTATGGCGTCGTGACGCACGAAAACGTGTGTACAGTCATCAAGTCGCCGATCAACCTGAACCTTTCGGTTCTGAGTGCGTGTGGAAACTGGTCGGAGTCGCTGCATAAAACTTTTAAGTTGCTGAGCGTAACGGGTGGTATCGGGAAATTTGGCTCGAAAGTTTCGGGAGCGATTAGCTCGCCTGGTAAACGCATGGTGGTACCGTACACCAATTCAGCTGGCGAGCACTGCAGATCCCCCTTAAGCGTAGCCCGGATGCTAAGCAGGACCAGTGGTAGCGAATCTGTCCACTTACTGTTGTCCACTGCCATCAACGCAGCTTTGAGTTGACGGTGGAAACGTTCTACTAGGCCATTTGCCGCGGGATGATACGCGGTTGTGCGAATGCGTTTGCATCCCAGCATCTCTAACAATTCTTTGAAGCTTGTGGATTCAAATTGTTGTCCGCGGTCGGTAGTGACAGTTGCGGGACATCCAAAATGGGCAACCCAGCCTTCCATGAAGGCACGACAGACGGTTTGAGCCGTTACATCAGGTATCGGAATGGCTTCCGGCCAACGTGTGAAACGATCCACACATGTGAGTAAATACGAGCAGCCGTTAGACGGGGGCAGAGGCCCTACTATATCCAGGTGGATATGATGGAACCGAGCGTCTGGGGTCGCAAACGTCCCCAACGGCGTGATGTTATGCTTGGTGACTTTAGCACGTTGGCATTGCACACAAGCACGTGTCCATTGACGCACATCACGGTTCATACCGGGCCACGCAAATCTCGCAGAAATCAACTTGTCCGTTGCTCGTATGCCAGGATGGGAGAGGTTGTGGAGTGACTCAAACACAGTTCGGCGTAAAGACGTGGGAACAATCGGTCGAGGAGTACCAGTTGACATATCGCAAAGTATAGTTGCCTCACTGTTTAGCAAGGGGACGCGTTCTATCTTCAGTGAGGTTTTATTTGACAGGTGTTCTAAGTTCAAATCGTTCAGTTGGAGTTCGGCCATTTTATGAAGATCGATGGTTGGTGGTACGGACGTAGCACATACGCGAGACAAAGCGTCTGCTACCGCGTTATCCGATCCAGAAACGTGCTGGATATCAGAAGTGAACTGGGAAATATAGTCTAAATGGCGTGATTCTCGCGGTGAATACCGGTCTGAAGTAGTGTGGAGGGCGTACGTCAATGGCTTATGGTCGGTAAATACCGTAAATTGCCGGCCTTCCACGAAGTGACGAAAATGCTTGACAGCAGCGTAGACAGCGAGAAGTTCCCTACCGAATGTGCTGTATCGAGATTCGCATGCGGTAAGTTTACGTGAAAAGAAAGCAATCGGTAGCCATACATTAGCCATACGCTGTTGAAGGACGGCTCCGATCGCAGTATTAGAGGCATCTACGGAGATGCTGATTGGAAGTTGAACATCTAGATGGACCAACATTGTGGCGTCAGCAATAGCTTTCTTGATAGCTGCAAAAGCTGTCGAGGCTTCCTTAGTGAACACCAAAGACTTGCATTTCCCTTTAAGCATATCAGTCAAGGGGGTCACGATATGAGCACACTGTGGGATAAAGCGACGGTAGTAACTAACCATCCCGAGAAAAGTGCGTAGTGCCTTGGGAGAAGTGGGTAGAGGGAAGTTTTGAATAGCTTCTACCCGGTCAGGTAACGGATAAATTCCATCTTTGTCTATCCTATGTCCCAAAAATTTCAGGGAAGTGACTCCAATCTGACACTTCGGCAAGTTGAGTGTGAGGGAGTGTGTCACAAGTCTTCGGAAAACTGTCTGCAAATGAAGTTGATGAGTGGCTTCATCTGGACTAGCTACCAAGATATCGTCCAGATAGGCGAAGGCGAAATCAAGCCCGCGCAAAACGTCATGTATAAAACGCTGGAAGGTTTGGGCAGCGTTCCGTAAGCCAAAAGGCATTCGAAGAAACTCGAACAGGCCAAACGGTGTAATCACAGCAGTCTTAGGTATATCCTCGGGGTCGACGGGAATCTGGTAGTAAGCCCGTGTAAGGTCCAGTTTGCTGAATACTCGAGCTCCCTTGAGTGAGGCGGTTAAATCGTGTATGTGAGGGACAGGGTAGCGATCGGGAACAGTTTGTGCGTTTAGTCTGCGGTAGTCGCCACAAGGACGCCAATCTAAACCGTTATTCTTAGGTACCAGGTGCAACGGTGAGGACCACGGGCTGCTGGATGGCCTAATAATCCCCATTTCTAGCATATGCTCAAACTCCGCTTTGACAACCTTTAGTTTTTCTGGGGATAGTCGCCTCGGCTTTGCGAAAACTGGCGGGCCAGTAGTGACAATATGGTGTGTGACGTTGGAAGTCGCACATGGCAGGCCGCTGCTAGGTTTGAACAAATCTGAAAAAGACTGCAGTATATGCGAATAAGGACCAGTGCTAGTGGGTGTGGCATATACAGGGCTGAGGGCTGGGCCTTGTGTGACGATACCGCTGACGGAGAGGTTTGTGACAGGATCTCTTAACTTATGATTACCTGTATCTACCAGTAATTGGTAGTGCTGCAATAGATCCATGCCAATTATACCTGTGGTAACGTCTGCCACCAGGAAGACCCAACGAAGTGAACGACGCAAACCGATGTTAAGATCTATAAAGCGCCTGCCGAACGTAGCAATTGGCGAACCGTTTGCGGCTCGTAGTTGAAGAGACATTGGCCGCCTGCGCTCCTCTACTGTGGGTGGGATTACACTGACCTCTGCTCCGGTATCAATTAGGAAGCGTATCCCAGTGTTACGGTCGGTAACATAGAAGAGGCGACATGAGAGTGGTTCGCCAGCGACGTTAGTCGCCAGTACGTGCTGGCTTGCTAGTTTCCCGATTGTTGAACATCGAAGGTGCACGGGCGAGTGCACTTTTGGGCTTTTGCTCCGTAACGTCGATGATACCAGCACACTCCAGGCTGGTTACTTCGGGACTGTCGGCGCTTGCTGCCAGCACGTGCCAAGGGTCTACTACTACGCGAACTCGAGGGACTGCGTGCACGACTCCTGGAGTTCATCTCCTGTCGTATACTACAGATCTCCTCGTATAGCTTGGCTATATGGGCCACCGCGTCAAAGCTTGATGACCCCCCGTCAGACGAATCGTTAGTCTGAGCAGGAGCAGCAGTTACTGTTGCGGAAATGCCAATTTTAGGATTGATGGCCTCCACAGCTCTATCAGCTGCCTCGGCTATCTCCTGTAAGGGGTACTTGTAGATCGGTGCTAAGATACCCTGGACTGCCTGAGGTAATCTTTGAAGCCAAAGTTGTTTGAGAAAAACCTCGTCAATTTTAAAGTCCGCCACCAGCTGCTTCATCTGCCTCAACATTTGTGAGGGCTTGCGGTCACCTAACTGAACATCACGGAAAAGTTCCTGCACTTTCTGTTGGTCAGTAAGTGCGACTCGTTGAATTAACGCCTGTTTGAGCCGCTCGTACCGATCCGGAGACGGATCTGCGAGAACGTCAGCCACCTCGTCTATGACACTTTCGGGTAGGCTCACAATCACGTGGTTTACTTTGGTCTCTTGTGAGTGTATGTGTCTAATGGCAAACTGAGCCTCTATATGATTAAACCATGCAGCTGGACGATGTGTCCAGAAGGCGGGGAGTTGCAGCGTTATAGCCATCTCTGACGCAGAACCGTTGTCAGCCATCTTGCACACAGGACACAATATTAACAAGGTGATAAAAAAACAATATAAGTACAAAGAAAACAAATCAAATCTTTATAACCGTGCGTGAAAAAAAAAAATAACAAAATAAACGGTACGTAAAAAGAATTGTTAACACGTTAAGCTACTATGGCGGAAAACGGTGAAAACGGGCTCACCACTTGTAAGTGTTGAAGCTAGACTTAAGATAGTCTTCGATATCACCACACTTACTAAAAACTTCACCGTCTTATGACTTTACGAGTACTCTACCTAACGTGTAAGTACTGATTAACTCAATCAAAGTTTAAAAGCTAACAATGGAAAGAATTCTTAGTATGAGTTGTATTTAACGTAACTAGATAACAGATTTAATAAATAAAGTGACTGTACAACTTAGCTGCAGACGTTACTGGAGGTAGGCTCGGAGAGTGTGCAGAAAGAGAGCACAACAAGAGAGCGAACCAATGAACGTACGGAAGACTCACAACTCAAAAGATAAAACGTGGATCACCGTGGGTGAGTCAGTTTAAACAAAAGTTCAAAGGTACAATGTGCACTACACATCCCTGGTTAGGTCAAGACTGGGAAACTGCATCCAGTCCGCCAGTCCTTGTCTAAAAGGGGACTCACATATTCGA